CCTCCTCCTGTTTCCCAGGCGCCTGGGCCTGTGGCTCACTGACCACATGTGCAAACCCCAGGCCCATGTCCCCTTCGCTCAGATTCTCCAACCAGCGACCTTTGCCACAGAAACCTTTGCCCGATAGTCACGCAGGTAGAGGGAAGGACAGATTGCACTAGAGATTGATTTTCTGGAGCAATAATTGGGTTGGGACACCATGTCTCTTTACTCCTAAATATCTCGGTGTTTTTCCTACGAACAAGGACTTTGCAAACTTGGAAAGTGTATCACCAGCACAGCGCTATTTAATTGTCAGCTCACACGGAAATTCTGTCACTTGTTCCTTCAGGCCAGGTTCAGGTCAAGGGCCAGGGACTGCACTCAGTTCCATGTCCCTTTAGTCTCCTTTAAACTGCCCTTGTCTTTCTTTCTTTTTTTAAATAAATACTTTTATTGATTTCAAAGAGGGAGGGAGAGGGAGAGATAGAAATATCAATGATGACAGAGAATCACTGATTGGCTACCTCCTGCACGCCCCCCCCCCCCCCCTACTGGGGATCGAGCCTGCAACCTGGGCATGTGCCCTTGATCAGAATTGAACCTGGGACCCTTCAGTCTGCAGGCCAACACTCTATCCACTGAGCCAAACCGGCTAGGGCTAAACTGCCTTTGTCTTTCAAGATCTTAACTTTTTTCAAGTGCCCTGGCCTGGGTGTTAAGTTGGTTAGAGCGCTGGCCCTCACACTGAAGGGTCGTGGATTAGACTCTCGGTCAAGGGCAGGTAGGTAGATTGTGGGTTCGATCCCTGGCCCAAATCAGGGCACTGGCAGGAGGCAACCATCCATGTGTCTCTCTCACATTGATGTTTCTCTCCTGTTCTTGCTCTTTCTCTTTCTCCTTCCCCTCTCCCTTCACCTCTTTCTTAAAATTAATGGAAAAAATATCCTCGGGTGAGGATTAACCAAAAAAGAAAAGAAAAAGAAAGAAAGAAAAGAAAAGGGTACAGGCAGGTTATTTAGTACAATGTCCCTTAACCGTATTTAATCCCTTAAATTATGTTTCCTCATAATTTCACTCAAGTTATGCATCTTCGCCCAGAATTCTACAGAAGTGATGTGCATTGGTTTCCTGTTGCCATTAGAACAAATGACCATACACTGAGTGGCTAAGAAAACCACAGGTTTCCTGGGTCGCAGTGTGGGCGGTCGCAGTCTGCAGTGGGTCTCATTGGGTCACAGTCACAGTGTCCGCGGGGCCGCCTCCTTCTGGAGCCCTTAGGGAGAACCCCCTCCCTGCCTTTTAGAGGCGCCCACAGTCCTTGGCTCGTGGCCCCTTCCTCATCTTCAAAGTCAGCTCTGCGGGATCTTTAGACGGCTTTGCCTCTCTCTCTACGTGTGAGGTAGAAGTACAATTACATGCCCCCACAAGGTAATCGAGAATAACCTCCCTATTTTTAAGATCCTTAATTTAATCACATCTTTGTCAAAAAGATCTTTGACACGTAAGATAACATGTTCCCGGATTCTGAGTGTTAGGATGGGACATCTTGGAGGGTCATTCAGTCTTTCACATGCGTGTCCTCCTTAGGGGATCATACCTGGAGGCAGGTGATGTCAGTCTGTCCCATTATTGTGACTATATAAATGTGATACTTGGTTATGGTTGTATTTGCAAGGTTAACTCCCTGTAACCTATGTTTTACTTTTGTAATTAATAGTCAATGTGAGGGCGATACTCTGAAACCAGGTCAATATCCTGTTCCTGGCCTCTATTGATGATTATTGGCTAACGCCTTTATTACTGAGAATTTTGCAAAGGGATTGTCCATTCTCTACGGTGATCACTTAGCACTTAACATAGGGGAGAGCTTTGCCTTGTCCTCCATGTATTTATTCCTTCATCTCACTTATTGACTCACAGGCTCCTCTGGTGCATGGGGGACGCTCAATCCATTGAGCCTCGCCGGCCGGGCTAGACTCTGATTCCACGAACAATCTGTTATCCAAATGATGTGTTTTGATGTCCACACTGTCCCAGAGTTAGCCAAGCTGGCTCCTGAATCCTTTGGACGAGTCTCCGTCTTTCCTTCAACACTTGCTTTCTGCCGTCCGAGGTTCCAGGCTCACCCTGTGCTTGTCCTGCTCTGCCCCGCAATCAGTCATTCCCCCAGAGTTTTCCCCTGTTTGCGGGGAATGGTGTTTAGAAACCAAGGTCTTGGTGCTGGGTGTGCTCATTCCTTTTGGGCTTCTAGGCCCTGTCAGAGGACAGAGCTTCGGGATATCAATAAAACTCAATAAGAGTAACTGACACACATCAACAGCTGTTTCTCTCTTTGTCCATCTACACCCAGGAGGACGTGGGGAGAGGATGCGTCATCCCTCGAGAACAAACCTGGGAGGTGATGGACAACAGCCACAGGACGTCGGCAGGGATGTCGGAAAGCCACAGCACCAGCCTGCAGGATAAAAGCAGACAGACAGACAGACAGACACACACACACACACAGCGTCAGCAGGAAGATGAGCCAAACGAAGAGAACCAAACAAAAGCTGAACAAAAGGCAGCCAGCTTGACAACAAGGCCCCTTGTGCCACTAAACTGTGGGGCTCATGTCTAATCCCAATCGAATAAATCCTCAGAAGGTGGGTTCGGACAAGCCAACCTAAAAGCCCCAAACTTCGGCCGCTCTTTAGTCAGGAAAGCTCAAGGGGTTTCCATGGGAATCGCAGGAGAAGGCTGGATTTCCCAGATACTGCTTGTCCGAGGCAAAATGCCTGAAGCTTGGAGTGGAGACACCACCCCCTCCACCAGCCCGACTGCATGTGGCCACATGCAAGTCCAGCAGAGGAAGCCTGACCACGGCCTCCACAGACTCCCTGCCCCTGGACCCCAAAGAACCCCACGCCTGGCCTTTTTTTTTTTTTAAGCTGAGTGAAGGCACAGAACTCTTTTTAATTTTTAAAATAGATTTCAGAGAGGAAGGGAGACGGAGAGAGATAGAAACATCAATGATGAAGAAACACATGAGAGCGAAACCAAGATGGCGGCATAGGTAAACACCGGAGTTTGCTGCCTCACACAACCACTTCTAAAATACAACTAAAAGACAGAACGGACATCACCCAGAACCACAGGAAGGCTGGCTGAGTGGAAATTCTACAACTAGAAGGAAAGAGAAAAGCATACCGAGACTCAGAGGAGGTGCGGTGCGGAAGTAAAATACTAAGGTACAGAGGCGCACGTGGAGCAGGCTGGCAGCTGAGGGTGAGGTTGTCTTTTTCAATCCGGAGGGAGTCTCAGGCTCTGAGCTCCAGTTCTGGTCGAGTCTCTGAGGACCTAGACTCATACGGGAGAAGCGGGACTGTCTGGCATCAGTCGGAACTCGAGGGCAGCTTTCTCTCAAAGGTACTTGCAGCAATTGCTGGGACACTGAGAAGCGGGGCCTCTGAAGGCAGGACTGAGAGCAGCCATAACTGCTCGCTCCGCCCACCCTGTTGATCCCCTGGGACCCGCCCCGCCCAAGCCTTGCATGGAGGTGTTTGCTGGATAGCCTTAGTCAGAGGCTAGATTAGCACTTCCCTAGAGCTCCAGGACAGAAGTTCTCCCACTGCAGACACAGCTGATTCTCACAGCCAATTGGCCTGGAGGTCAATCCCTCCCAGTGTTACTTACAACAATCAAGGCTTAACTACAACAAGACTGTGCACAAAAACCACAAGGGGGAGCACCAAGAGTGTCCTCCTCAGGTAATTGGGGAGGCTGAACCACTGGGCCCTAGAGGAAACTTAGCACAGAAAACCACTTTATCAACACGAGGAAGCATAAAAAAATGAGGAGACAAAGAAACAGGACACAAATGACAGAAATGGAGGAAAGCAAACTGCTGGATATAGAGTTCAAAACCTAAAAACTTTTAAGGTTTTTCAAGAACTGTCTAGAAGCCGCCAATAAATTTAGTAAGACCCTCGAAAAGACTGGTGAGACTGCCGATAAATGTAGTGAGACCCTCAAGAAATCTAGTGAGACCCTTGATGTTGTGATAAAGGACCAGCTAGAAATTAAGCATACACTGACTGAAATAAAGAATATTATACAGACTCCCAACAGCAGACCAGAGGATCGCAAGAATCAAGTCAAAGATTTGAAATACGAAGAAGCAAAAAACACCCAACTGGAAAAGCAAAATAAAAAAAGAATCCGAAAATATGAAGTTAGTGTAAGGAGCCTCTGAGACAGCTTCAAGCGTACCAACATCAGAATTATAGGGGTGCCAGAAGATGAGAGAGAGCAAGATATTGAAAACCTATTTGAAGAAATAATGACAGAAAACTTCCCCTAACTGGTGAAAGAAATAGACTTACAATTCCAGGAAGCACAGAGAACCCCAAACAAAAGGAATCCAAAGAGGACCACACCAAGACACATCATAATTAAAATGCCAAGAGCAAAAGACAGAGACTCTTAAAAGCAGCAAGAGAAAGAAACCCAGTTACCTACAAGGGAATACCCATACGACTGTCAGCTGATTTCTCAACAGAAACTTTGCAGGCCAGAAGGGAGTGGCAAGAAATATTCAAAGTGATGAATGCCAAGAACCTGCAACCAAGATTACTTTATCCAGCAAAGCTATCATTCAGAAGTGAAGGTCAGATAAAGACCTTCACAGATAAGAAAAAGCTAAAGGAGTTCATCACCACCAAACCAGCATTATATGAAATGCTGAAAGGTATCCTTTAAGAAGAGGAAGGAGAAGAAAAAGGTAAAGATACAAATTATGAACAACAAATACACATCTATCAACAAGTGAATCTAAAAATCAAGTGAATAAATAATCTGATGAACAGAATGAACTGGTGATTATAATAGAATCAGGGGCATAGAAAGGGACTATTCTTGGGGGGGGGGAGGGGTGTGGGGGATGTGGGAAGAGACTGGACAAAAATCACGCATCTATGAAAGAGGACAGTGGGTGGGGAGTGAGGACGGAGGGTGGGGTGGGAACTGGGTGGAGGGGAGTTATGGGGGGGAAAAAGAGGAACAAATGTAATAATCTAAACAATAAAGATTTAATAAAAAATTAAAAAAAGATTCTCTTTAATTTTTGGCATTTTAATTATGATGTGTCTGGGTCAGGTCCTCTTTGGGTTCCTGCTTGGGACTCTCTGTGCCTCCTGAACGTGTGCAACTTTTTCCTTCACCAGGTTAGGGAAGTTTCCTGCCATTATTTCTTCAAACACGTTTTCTATCCCTTTCTCACTTTCTTCCACTTCTAGCACAACTATTATGCGAACATTGTTACATTTCACATTGTCCTAGAGCTCCCTTAAACTGTCCTCTTATTTTTTAATTGTTTTTCTTTTTGGTTCTCTGATTGAGTGATTTTTTCTACCATCTTCTAATTCACTGATCTCATCCTTGGCTTCCCCTAATCTGCTGTGTATTCCTTCCAATGTGTTCTTTATTAGTGCTATGTCAATCTTTATTTCCAACTGTTCTTTTTTCATATTTACTATATCTTTTCTCATGCTGTTGAGCATCTTTACCATCATTATTCTGAACTCTGTATCAAATGAATTTCTTTTCTCCATTTCATTTATCTCTGCTATTGGAGAATTCTCTTGTTCTTTCATTGGGGGTTGTTTTTTCATCTCTCCATTTAGGGTGCCTGTTTGGGTTTGTGACTGTGTATTCGGTAGATCTGCTTCGCTTTGGGCAGCACAGTTTAAATGTCTCCAAAATCAGAGTGGGGCACCTATTCACTGAGGGGTCTGCTTTGGTTTGTCTGTGTAGTGAACCACACTAGTGGGTCCCCAGGAGCACAGAGCTGAACAAACAGCCCCACTCACCTTGCCATCCGGGGGGAACACCATCTGCCTTATCAGCTGGACGTTCTCTAAGCAGAAGCGGAGACTGATCTTGGACACGTCCATATACAGGAAGTTCGTGGACTTGACCTTAGGACAGATGTCATGCTCCCCAAGGAACGGGGACACGGTGATGGTCGTCTTGTCATCGAAGCAGGGTACAGTGTTAGTAAACCCTCCATCCATGTACCGCTTGTGAGGGAGAGAGAAAACACATTCTGTCAGAGGCTCTGGGCAGGGGATTCTCAGAACCACAGCTGACCCAGGAGAGGACCAGGTTTGGGGAGACTCTTTCAACATTTTCAGCTGGGCAGGCAGGTTTGGTACAAGCGGGACAGTCTGCACCTGTCAAACCAATGCCAGGAGCCCTGCCCCATGTGACATCTGGGTGGGGGGGAGAGGGGGGCAGGCAATCATCTCAGTGGGTGACGGCTGCCCAGGAAGGAGCTGCCCTGGTGCTGCACAGCCCAGCACGCAGCCCAGAGCCTGCAGAGCACACACTCCACTTGGACTCTGCCCATGGAGGGCTCACAATCAGCTGCATGTGCCTACAGAGAGTATTTGCTGATGGAGCTGAACCGTAGCTCTGTCGGCAGCTCTGCCCCAAGCCACGGGCTGGAAGGACAGTCAGTCCCAGAGAGGACTGAAACTGCACCCTGAGAGTGAAGCTCGTGTTAAGGGAGTGGCTGAGTCTTAAGTGTCGTAGTCTTTTTCTTTATTTCTTAAAGTATTACAAAGAGTATTACACATGTCTCCTTCCCCCCGCCTTGACATTCCCCCAGCTTCCCCCACCCCCCAGTGTCTTGTGTCCATTAGTTATTCTCATATGCATGCATATAAGTCCTTCTGTTGATCTCCTACCCCCGCAACCCTCCCCAGGGTTCCCACTGTAGTTTGACAGTTTGCTCAATGCTGCTCTGCCTCTGTATCCATTTCTGTTCATCAGTCTATAATGGTTCTTATTATCCATAAATGAGTGAGTTCATGTGGTATTTTTCTCAGCTTCCCAGGGGCCATCTCAGTCTCACAGGGGACATCCCAGCTTCACAGGGGCCGTCCCAGCCTTACAGGGGCCATCCCAGCCTTACAGGGGCCGTCCCAGCCTCACAGGGGTCGTCTCAGCCTCACAGGGGCCGCCTCAACCTCACCTGGGCCGATTCGACCTCACCAGGGCCATTTCAACCTCACCGGGGCCATTGCAAGCTCACCAGGGCCGTCGCAAGCTCACCGGGGCTGTCCCAGCCTCACCGGGGCCTATTTCAACCTCACCGGGGCTGGTTCAACCTCACCGGAGCCGCCTCAGCCTCACCCGGGCCATCCCAGCCTCTCAGGGGTCGTCCTGGCCCTACTAGGGCCGCCTCAGCCCTCACGGGGGCCGTCTCGGCAACGCGAAGTTTGGCATTCTGTCCTTTGTCGGGCAGCTCCCTGCTGGACAAAATCTCCAGGCGTTCCTGGTGGCTGAATATCTGGTATGCTTGCTTGGATTTCATTTTCTACCAAGTGCACAGACTGCCTGTCTGCCATCTCCCAGCATCCCATGTGAGACTGGATCTGGTGGACCTGCCTGTGCGTTTGCTGGTACAGCGGTTCCACATCGCTGGCCCAGCCGGGTCCGGCTCCGGCTTCCTCCAAACCTGATTCTGCTTCTTGAGTGTGTCCCTTATGTATGCAAGGAATTGAAATCTGCATTCTGCTGGGCTGGGCTGCAAAAGCGCCAGTGGTTCTCTTTGTGCCACTAGCACAGCTTGGGTGGGAATGTAAATTGAGTAGGGCAGGGTCCCGGGGAATCACCAGAGTGAAGCAAGGGGCAATGGCTATCCGCGACTCCTCGCGTCTCTGCTACTCAGCGTCTCGCGTCCCTGAGCACCAGCGAGCAACTCCGCGAGACAGCCACTCTCGCTCTCGGGCCCATTGCAAGGCTGTTCCGCCTCTCCCCGTAGGGGTCTGGGACCTCAGGATCCCGCCCCAAACAAGCTCAGTGGACTCGAGAGTCTGCAGCCCCTTCCGATTGAAAAAAAAAACGCGCATTCAGTTGCAGCCCGCCTGGCACGTGACTCTGTACCTCCGTTCTTAGAGCCTCTGCACAACCTACTCAGTCTCAATGCTCTTCTTTCTTTCCTTCCAGTTGTAGAGCTTCCACTGGGCCAGCTTTCCCATGGTTCTGAATGATAGCTGTTTGTTTTATAGTTGGTAGTCTCGATGCTGTTGTGGGAGGCAGCACGCACACGTCTGTACCTTACGCCACCATCTTGGTTCCTCCAAGTGTCGTATTCTTTAACTAGGCCACGGGACACCTGTACTTAATGCTCAGGTGAGGATGACATGAACCAGCTCACCTTCCAGAAAGCCAGATAATGGGTTCTTGGTGAGGCTGGTTGGGCTGGGGGTGGGTGGGGTGGAGATGCAGCAGCTATGGAATCATTGTCTCAAGGCTGAGCCACAGAAGGCCGTGTTCGGATGCCTGCGCCCGGCATTGTGCAGGCAGGAGCTGTGCAAACACAGTATAAAAGCAGACTTACCACGCCTCTGAAGGTCGGAGGGATTAAGCCACAGAGGTAAGGGATGAAGGAGGTATAGATCAAGACCTGTGAAGATAAAAGGAAGTGAAACCACAGGCAAAGCAGTAGGCCCTTCATTCCCCTAGGCCTCCCTGAGCCTTCTCTCTGTGAGTGAGAAGAGCAGCTGGTCTGAATGTGCTCTTTGCACACAGTAGGCACTTTATTTAAGGGGTTGAATGAAGATGAACCAACCCACACAAGTGTATTTCAGCCCAAGTATATGTCCCTGCTGCCCACGAGAGTCACAATGGCCATCGCAGACCGGACCTGGAGCTGTGGACGCAATGACTGACTGGGAAGGACTGGATCAGACTCAAGCTGCTTGACCCGCTGGCCCTGGACCCCAGCCCGGGATTCTGAGGCAGCAGCTTGGAGGAGGGGCCTCAGACTGCAAGTCTCACAGGCTCCCAGGTGATGCCCACACGGGTCCAGGGACTACAATGGAGTAGCGCCGGCTGGAGAGCATTAAGCAGCACACAACACTGACTCACAGAGAGAAAGGACTCCTGTGGGAGGGACAGGTGCTGGCTAAAGAGAAGAAACTTCCAGAAACAAGGTTCAATGACAGATGGTTGGGGCTGCTGAGATGCAGCTGGCTCTATGGGCCAGGCCGCTCTGCTCTGCAGACCTGTGTGAAGTGAAGTGTCTGTTGATCCCCCATGAAGGCATCGGGCAAATGCACTGGATTGTGACCTTGCAAACAACGTCCTCTGGGCTGGGCCCTGAGGAAGAGGTTCCGCCTCTCGCTGCTTCCCTCAAGCTGTTCTCCTGCAGGAACACGCATCCCGTGCAGGAGGGACACCGAGGGACAGGGCCCTGAGGAGGTGGACAAAGCCACGCCTGCAGGATGCGGAGCCATCCTTTAACACGGAACCTGTGCTGGGCGCCCAGGGTTTCCCAGGCTGTGGCCCAGACCATGGGGGGCACGGCGTGTATGTCACAGGGTGCGGGCAGCAGACAGCGTCCCGGCCGGCCAGGTGCTTGTCCGTGTAAGAAAGGGGGCAGGTGGCCTGCGCCAGCCTCTCCGTGTGACTCCCAGAATGAAACCGCCCCTCACTGCCAGCACCAGACAGGCCCACCGCTTACGTCCACAACGTCGTCTTTGGACTGAAACTCGGACACCAGGACGTTTTCCCAGTCGGACACTCTGGTCAGCGAGATGCACATTTTGCCTGAGATGAACTGGTGGACGTTGTCTGGGAGGAGTCTGTGGAGGGCTTCTCGGAGGGACCTGACTATGTTGAAGGACGGATGGAGGATGCTCATGGTCCGGCTTCTGGCGGACTCGACAAGGTCTGTGAGGAACTTCAGAGTGTGGTCTGTGGGGGAGACAAGCCCACAGGGGGATGGATGTGCCGCCTGGGAGAGGGGCGACTGTGGCAAGACCAGAAACCGGGCAGAGGGAGCTGTGTTCTCACGTGGCTGCAGAGCCCTTACAATGGGGATCGTCCAAACTGAGCTGTAGTCAGAGGATCTCAAAACTTAATGCAAAACAGAATGTAAAATACCTCAACACACACACCCTTATACTGACTAAATGGGAGCAGGGGACTGTTTGGAGATACTGGGATGAATAAGACTAACTTCACTGTGTCTTACTTTTTGCTTCCTGTCTCTGGGAAACGTAAAATGACAGACAGCGCGGCCTGCACTGCTCCTGTTGCACAGCGCGCTCCCGGCCTGGCCTTGGGACCGAGGCTCCAGAGGCCCAGGTGCGCTCTCCTCGCCCCTCCCCCCTCAGAGCCAGAGCTAGGGAGGCCTGACTCCAGGGGGCAGAGAGCACCAGGCCAGCACCAGGGCGGGAAGCCTGTCTGCACCTCCCACCTGCCTCCCCTCTCACTTTCCTCCACCTCCCACCTGCCTCCCCTCTCACCTGCCTCCACCTCCCACCTGCCTCCACCTTCCACCTGCCTCCTCTCACCTGCCTCCCCTCTCACTTTCCTCCACCTCCCACCTGCCTCCTCTCTCACCTGCCTCCACCTTCCACCTGCCTCCACCTTCCACCTGCCTCCCCTCTCACCTGCCTCCACCTCCCACCTGCCTCCACCTCTCACCTGCCTCCACCTCCCACCTGCCTCCCCCTCCCACCTGCCTCCCCTTCACCTGCCTCCCCTCTCACCTGCCTCCACCTCTCACCTGCCTCCCCCTCCCACCTGCCTCCACCTCCCACCTGCCTCCCCTCTCACCTGCCTCTCCATCTCACCTGCCTCCACCTCTCACCTGCCTCCACCTTCCACCTGCCTCCACCATCCACCTGCCTCCACCTCCCACCTGCCTCCACCTCCCACCTGCCTCCCCTCTCACCTGCCTCCACCTCCCACCTGCCTCCCCTCTCACCTGCCTCCACCTCCCACCTGCCTCCCCTCTCACCTGCCTCCACCTCTCACCTGCCTCCCCTCTCACCTGCCTCCACCTCCCACCTGCCTCCCCTCTCACCTGCCTCCACCTCCCACCTGCCTCCACCTCCCATCTGCCTCCCCCTTCCACCTGCCTCCCCCTCCCACCAGCCTCCACCTCCCACTTGCCCCACCTCCCACCTGCACCCACCTCCCACCTGTCTCCACCTCTCACCTACCTCCCCCTCTTAGCAGCCTTCACCTGTCACCTGCCTCCCCTCTCAGCAGCCTTCACCTGTCACCTGCCTCCACCTTTCACCTGCCTCCACCCTGTGCTGCGGGCACAGCCCCAGGCTCGGCCTGTCCCCTGCTATGCAAACCCCTGCACTGCTCTGCACCTCATTGGGGTCCTGGGGTCACAGCCCCAGTTAAACGTTCAACCGCGTGGGTGGCTCCAGGTCACCTTGGGGACAAGGGCTGGCTTTAGCACTGCTATAGCCCGGGGGGTGGGGGGGCGGACTGGCTATGCTGGAGGTCACATCCTGCCCTTTGCTCCCCTCCCCCTGCAGGGAGAAGGCAGCCAGGGTGGCCCCCTAACCCCACCTCCCACTCAGCCCAGGTCCCTCCAATGGCAGGAGGTTGCTCCAATGGCAGGGCTGCCCTCCTGGCAGGAGACTCCTGTCACCAGAGCAAAGGCAGCCCCGCTGGCTGCGTCCCACCCAGCAGCCCTGGTCACAGCCAAGAGGAAGTCCCTGAGGAGCCCAAGGAAACAGGCTGATAAGGGGCATCCTCTTCCTTCTGGGGGCCTTTGGGTGCCAACAGCTCCACACTGCCCCTTGCTCCCAGCTCTGCCCCCTGATGGGGAACCCCAAGCCGAGGAGGCTGCACCCCAGTCCTTTAGGCCAGCTGGGCACCAGCCCACACCCCTCCCTCCCACTGGCTTCCACATGCACAGACGTTAATCCCGACAAAACTTAAAGGACTGTCATTTCCTGCGGCACTGAGTGGGTGTGGAGGGGGTGCATGGTGTGAGGGGTCCAGGGGCCACTCCAGCCCCGAGGAAGGGCCTGAAACACTGGGAAGGAGAGGAGATAGCTCTCCTACCCTCCTGCACACACAAAACATCCCCCCTCTCCCCTCCAACCTCCTCACCTCCAAACCAGCTGCTCTGCCCAGGAGTCCAAGGAGCTGCCCTCCACATGAGCCCCATCCAAGCCCGCCCCCACCCGGCCGCTCCCCAGGGCAGGCGCACAAAGGGCGCAGGAGGAGGGAGGAGAGATGGGAGTTGGTCGTGTCTCCAGCCCCTCAGTTTCCAAACAAAAGTAGGCGCCCACCTTGGGGCCCAGGCCACAGCCCACATCTGGTTGGTGAGACCCAGGGCACATGGACCCTCCCGCGGGCACGCAGCTCAGCAGGAGCCGGCAGAGGACGGGGACCACGGGGACCAGCTCCACCCTCCGCCGCCAGGGTCGCCTTCCCTGGAAGACGCCGCTCAGTCCCGGGAACAGGCTTCCTTCAAGCCCCGGCTCCAGAAGGGGTGAGGAGGGAGGCGCTCGGGATTCCCACGCCCAGAGGAGCCGCTCCCAAGGCGCCCCCTCCCAGACTGGGCCACAGAGCCCCCCGCGCAAGGCGAGAGGACGCAGTGGAGGGGGCACCTGTCTGCAGTGTCGGTGTCCAAACTCGGATCCACTGGGCACCCCGCAACCCTTAGGCGTCGCCCGCAGCCCAGGGGGCGCCCCCTCTTGGCAAGGAGCCCGTGCAGCCCCGGACGTATCAAGGGGAATTCCGGAGAGGAAGGCGAGGCACCGAAGATCATGCGCGCGTCGCGGAGGAGGTGCGGGGCGCGCTCGCTCAGGCAGCGGGTCGCCCCGAGGTGGTAGAAGCCCAGGAAGCCGCAGCCCACGAAAGACACGATCCAGCCACGCTCGGGGTCGCCCAGAGCGGCGGCGGGCCGGGGTCCGGGAGGCCGGGTCTGCGGTGCAGGGTCCGCCATCCTCCCCGCCTTAACCTCACCAATGCTTGCTCTGCGCATGGCCTCCCAGCCACCGCCCAGGTGTTCCCTGCGTGACGTCAGCGCGCCTGGCCCCGCCCTCCAGGGCGGAGTGGAGGAGTTGGCGGGCGGCCCGGTGGTCCAATCTGGGGCAGGTGCCCAACTGTCAGTCATTGCACCTCCTGGACGGGTAGGATTCTGGGGCGGGGCCTGGGAGGAGCAGACGGGCTGTGGGGCGGGGCCTAGGAGGGGCAGGCGGGCTGTGGGGCGGGGCCTGGGAGGGGCAGAGGGGCTGTGGGGCGGGGCCTGGGAGGGGCAGAGGGGCTGTGGGGCGGGGCCTGGGAGGGGCAGAGGGGCTGTGGGGCGGGGCCTGGGAGAAGCGGACGGGCTGTGGGGCGGGGCCTAGGAGGGGCTGACCTGCACCTGAGGGAGGGTGGGGGAGCTCTCCCTTCTCCAAATGACAGGTTGTCCTGGAAAGAGACGCGCCCCCTGCAGTTCCTCTTCATCCCTGAGTCAGGGAGGAAGCAGCAGTGGCCACTGAGGTCTTTAATGTCTTCCCGACACGTGGTCGTTCCCCTGTTCACAGGCCTTAGGCGGCACCGGCATCCACACGACACGCGTGTGATGGCTTTGCTCTGTTCCCTGCAGTCTGTGCGTGTGAGGTCTCAGTGCCTGGCAAGTGGTGGCGATTCTCTTTTCAGGACAGTGACGCCAAGTTTCCATTTCAAAGTTTCGCTTCTAAGTTGATGTAGTGACGGGTTGACCAAACTGTTGTAGCCCGAAGCTTGCAGGACCCGAACCCTGGATTTCCCCAAGGGGTGACGACTCAGTCCATAATGAAGCGAAGGCGGTGACTTCCAGAACCGCCCATGAGACTCCGGACCTTCTCAGAGGGCAGCAGGCGGTGCGTGGACTGGGGCTGGTTCCCGGGGTGGGACGTGCATGCAGACAGGCGCCCGCTCGGACTGTGCTGGCTCAGCGTGGACCCAGGGGCTCCGGGGCCCACTCACCGCCTCCCTGCAGTCCCGCCAAATGAGGGCAGGCACCCTTCCCCCAGTTACCAAACCCCACACCTGTGGGAGGCCTGGGCTTCTCTGTCACCTGCCTGGTCCTCCCCAGTGCCCCAGGCTGGCTTCTGACCTCCCACAGCCACGCACCTGGCCCAGCCTTCCCCACCCCAGGGACAGCCTCACCTCCCCCCTGCACCCCCCACCCTCAGCCCAGCCTCCCAGCCCCGGCTGTAATTCACACAAAGTTAACCCTGGTAGCCTTTTTTTAAAGGCACAGTTCAGTGGCCTTAAGTGTGTTCCCAAGGTGTGCACAAATCACCATTGCATATTTGCAAATTGGTTTCATCTTGCAGAACAGAAACTCTACCTCCGTGAAACACTGAGTCCCCTCCCGCGGCGCAGCCCCTGCGGCCCAGCCCCCGTGGCCCAGCATTTACCGTCTGTCTGTGAATTCCTCGCCTGCGGGGCCGCGGAGAAGTGGGGTCACCGGGAGTGTCCTCCTGGGACTGGCTGGGTCGCTGAGCATAATGTCCTCAAGGTCCCTGGGTGGTGCCTGTGTGGGAGTCTCCTTCCGGGTTCAGCTGCCTCACAGTCCACTGTGTGTACTGACGGGGCTCAGGACACACTCCCCCAAAGACCCCCCGTGGCCTTTGGGTATTTGAAGCTGAAGGACTTGAGAAAGGGCAGGGCAGGCAGGACTCACTGCCAAGTCCCTGGGGGGGTCATGGGCCCTGATGTGAGAGGTGCTGCCCTCTGCAGGCCCGAGGCCACACTTGTCTCCAGACGCAGAGCCACAGAGAGGCTTCCGAGTGGACAGGTTTTGTCATGTTCCCCCAGGTCCCCACACTGACCTCATTGCCTCTGCCCCATCACATCTTTCTAGAACTTTCCACCCTTCACCCAACCAGCATAAGAGCACCCACGGAGTCATTTCCTTATGCAGGCTCCTGTGTCTGGTCAGACTTATACCAAACTAGAGGCCCAATGCACGAAATTTGTGCAAAAATAGGCCTTCCTTCCCCCTGCTGCTGGCACCAGGTTCCCTCCGGCACCCAGGATCCCGGGCTTACATTGCAGCCCCGGCTTCCCCCGGAAGGTCGTTGGTCAAATTAGCATATTATGCTTTTATTATTATAGATAATTTCTATGCTTTTTTCCAGAAATCCGTCTTTTGATTCAAGGGTCAAGAACTTCAAGGGGTCAATTAGTCAAGAATTTTAAAAAGTAGAGGGATGGAGGACGAGGGAGGGATGGAGGGGTCAATGGGGGGAAAAGGGAGACATGTAATACTTTCAACAATAAAGAATTAAAAAATAAAAAATAAAGGCATAGAGGGGTCCCTGGCCGGTGTGACTCTGGTTAGAGTGTAATCCCATGCACCATAGGGTCCCGGGTTCCATTCCTGGTGAAGGGCATGTACCTAGGTTGTGGGTTCTCTCCCTGCCCCAGGGGGTACCTCCAGGAGGCAACCAGTTGATGTGTCTCTCTCACACAGACGTTTCTCTCTCTCTTTCTCTGTCTCCCTCTCTCCGCCCTCCCTTCTACTCTCTGAAAATCAATAGAAAAATTATCCTCAGGTGAGGATCAACAACAACAAAAAGAGTACAGGGAGAAGATCTTTCTCTTCACCTTCAGTATATACCACAGGCCCATCCATTCACGTGACTCACTCTTGCATCTCCAGATAAACACCTCCCCTCCTCCATCCGGGTCTCAGGAACCCACCCTTGGGCACTGGTCCTCAGAGATGAGGCCCCTCCCAGGTTTGTCCTGTCCCCAAAACAGGACCCAGGGAGTCCTCTGTCACGCATGCGCTCCCTCCAGCCGTCCTGGGAAACAGAATTGCTCCCATTGGCAGTGCTGGGAGAGCACGCCCTTGCGTAACCTTGAAGGTCAGATGGACAAGCCACGGAGAAGTCAGACGGACATTCCTGGCCACATGCAGAGGCCCTGTTCCTAGTGACCATCGTCCCGCCTGCCCGAGATGGCGGGCTCGCCCTCCTGCTCCGGCTGCATCCCCTCAGTGAGGCCCTAACGGTGTTTATTGAATGACTGAGTGAGTGACTGAGTGAGTGAGTGAATGCTGGACTGATACCCTCTCCCCAGGTCTGGCTAACATGGAGGTTCCTTCAACTTCAGCCACCGTCACAGACCTACACATTTCTTAGCTCATCCGTTCAGCTCTTCCTCAGTAGCTCAGGTGCTGTCCCAGGTGGGTCCCTGTGGAAGCCGACGGACCCAGGGACCAGGACTCAAGTGCAAGGTGACCGCAGGCGGCATCAGAGGGGGTGGGGAAAGGAGGAGGGGAGAGGTGTCTGAGGGGAGGTGACACTGTGGGGGAGTGGGGCTCAGGCCAGCGGGCTCTCGAGGAGAAACAACACGGTGGGGATGGGGGAAGGGACCTGGGGTGGTAGCTCTCTGAGTCTCACCTCCAGTGGTGCCGGGGCCGCTCACACTGCGTGGGGCGGGCTGAGCCTGGCGCAGGAGCGTGAGGAGACAGATGTCCTTGGGCAGGGAGGGCCACGGGGCATGGACGGGCCCCAACAGTGGGCGAGCCTGGGGGCACAGGAGGAGGGAGGACAGGAGTCGCACATGGAAGGGGTGGGGTGGGGAGGTCAGCGCGGTGTCTGGGGACGCCCTGGAGCAGAGGGGCCCACCAGGCAGCCACGTGGTTTGGGGAAGGCACCCCAAGTGCTTCTGATGCCCCCACCTGGAATCCAATTTAACATATCGAACAGTTTAGGCCTGGCCAGTGTGGGTCAATGGTTGGGCACCGACCTATGAACCAGGAGGTCCCAGTCCCATTCCTGGTCAGGGCACATACTGGGACAGCCGATCAACGATTGTCCCTCATCATTGATGTTTCTCTCTCCCTCTCCTTCCCTCTCTGAAGGGATAGTGTAAGGTGTACTGAAAGGACGGGGATTTGTGTCTCAATATTGTGGGTCAGCACATAGATACACATAATTTTACTTGAAAAAATTCTTATATCTATTTGAAGTGACCTGGAGGCACTTGTAATCCCGGAAGCAGGTACTCCTTGAAGAGAGAGTAAGGAGGAGGCAAGACCGGCGTTAAGAACACACGCCAGCTGCCAACAGAGCAACTCCTAGCGCTGCTCCCAGGGCCGGGACCCAGCACACCTCCGAGGGGGAGGCCCGCGGGGCAGCTTCCGGGGGGCTCACTGAGAGGACCCCTGCCCGAGTCCTGAAAGAAAGGGCTGCGCTGGAAACCAGACTGCCCAGGCGGTGGGCCCAGCTGGGAGGGGCTAGGAGACCCAGATGCCAGGACAGATCGCTGCCCTCCTGTAAGGACAGTGGGGAACCAGGCCACTGGGGTGAACTTCTGTCTAGTCTCCGCCTCTAGGGACAGACCCCTGTCAACCAACGATCATTGGCGCCAATTCCAGGCCAACAGGAATCTCCAGTTTAGGGTAAAGAAGGCACCTTGATTCCGTGCAAAACAGCTCAGCTGGGATACAGCCCTGCTGTGGGGCCCGGGCCCGCCAAGGCGGTGGGCTCCCTCTGCGCCCTGCTGCTCTGCTCTGCTCTGCTCCGCGCTGGTTGCCTTGCCCTGTGCCAGCTGCTTCCTCTGCTCTGCTCTGTGCCCGGGGGACAGCGTCAGTGCTTCAGCTCCAGCTGGGGAGATGCCAGCTGGGGAGGAACGGGCAAATGCGCCCCTAGAGCCAGAGGGCAGCTGGTTGGCAGGTGGCCCTGCCTTCAGTACCCGATGGGTCCGTCCTCATACAAATCCTCGCAGTTTGATTGAGCCAAAGGACACTGTCCTGATTGGTCAGAATGGAGCCACTCTGATTGGTCAGTAAAGATGTTGATGGGGAGGCCTGGCCTGGTGGCTCAGTTGGCTGGAGCATTGCTCCTGGACCCCAAAGGGTTGTAGGTTCCATCCCCAGTCGGGATGCAGGTAACAGGGTTCTGTACGACATGAACATCAGGGGAGCTGGGGGAAGGGTCTATGAAAACTACCTTTGCAACTTTTCACCAAATCTGAAATTATTCCAAAATGAGCTGTTCGGCCCTGGCCTGTGTGGCTCAGTTAGTTGGCTGGAGAGTCATCCTGTGCACCAAAGGGTCTCGGGGTGGATTCCTGGTCAGGGCACATTCTGGGTTGCGGGTTCGATCTCTGGGTTGCGGGCTCGATCCCTGGTTGGGGTGCATAT